TTTGTTTAACCCCACATATGTACATTATATATTTCATAAAGATTGAAATAAAGTTTAAAAAAAATTGCTTATGATCATTTTGACAAAGTGGATCCATTTTAATATTTCAATATACATATAAGAAATATATTACATCATAGTGCAAAATAAAAATGTTTTTATGAATTATTCATTTATTTATATATTTAAAATTGAATCAAATGAAACAATATTGTTTATGTAACATGAATAAAACAAACGGAAAATAAACTTTTCGTCTAAACATTCTTAAGTGCTTTGTTATATGTATACAAAGATACTAGGTAGGTACATATTTTAACCTGTAAAGTCTAAGGAATAATCCTGCCCGTAGCAGCCACAAGCTAACAATAAATACGAATACCACTAACTGAACTAACCAAGAAGTAATATCTTAGACAATAATCACTGTAATTGCTTTTCCGAGCTTCAGGAATACAAATAGGTTTCAACGTTTTAACGTGAGTAGAGTTTACCTTTTATAAATTTTATGAAGAGCTAAATAATATGTTTCTTTTTATATATAAGACTTTTTGAATCTTTCGAGTTATTACTTTTTATTTGTTTTTAAATACATATACTGACATATACTTTTGTTATTATGGAATCTAATCCCACCTTAATCCGAATTTTTGGCGTGGATAACGTTCTAGTGTTTGATTTTTCGATGACTAGTTCTCTTGAATTATGTCCTGAGCCGATCTCTTAGAAATACCTTTCGCCAAGAGACGGATCTTCTAGGACAGCATTTCAAAGTTAAGTACTATTGAGACCATCCATCCTTCCCGGTTAAGCTAATAGGGCTAATAGCAATAGACAAGTCGACAAAAATGAAGACTCAGAAGTAAGGTCGTCTTTGTAGAAGGTCAAACACTCCACTGAAAAAGTACAGCTACTTCTACATCAATGCATACCTTTTTCTGTAGAAAAAAACTAAAACAGTCGACTTATGAAAAGCTTGTTTTTCTACATCTCGGGGAAAATCTTAAGGCAGTCAGCCTATCCGAGTACTCGTAAAAGAAACTACCTCCTTGATAATAATAAAATGTCAGACAATATGGTAAAACACAAGAGAACCAGATATAATATATAAATTGAATACATCCATCGATATTATAAAACAATAGAACAAATAAAACCGTCTGATTAAGTTATCAGACAGTTAAGCTTAACTTGACAATATTTTAAGATATAAATTATGTTGTCATTAAATGATTAATAGTTTATTAAAATCAACAGTTGTTTGTTATATTTCTTGAACGATGGCATAAATTAGGTCGCATTGTAAACTACTTTTCATAAACACATGAAATGATTTCTTTATGTCTAAATTAGACTTCTTTTACATTTATTAATCATTTGTCTTTTATGGCCTGTTTACGAATTGAACGTACAGTTTTAGTCCAAAAATAATGTGTGCGAAGCCATCAGTGAGATGTATATAACAGAAAAGGATATTAAAAAAGTTTTTTTTCTATACTTTTATATTTCCTTGTTAAGCAAAACAGTGTTTTTACAAATGTTAAATTGAATAGAGAATTGCGTAATTTCTCATAAGCTGTTTTTATTTAATAAAACCTATTAATTAATTAATACATTTCTATACATATTTTAAAGTCTGATTGGCTTAATAATATATATTAGTTTTAGACAAAACAGTAGCTTCAATAGTATAAAATCATGTCTGATATCCACGTACGTATATAGAATGAAAAAATAGTTTGTTGATTAATTTAATTTATATAATTAAAGTATGAGTTTTCATTCGGTTAGGAGTAAATTGTAATTTGATTGACCTTTGTATGAAAACCTAATTCGTGGGTTCTAAACAAAAACTCTTTTTACTTAGTATATTTTCGAACGTTAATGAAAATCAACGTATTTTTTCATTTCAAAATATTTTTATACAACGGCTAGAAATGAAGCACAGTTTTCTATTGGTTTTGATATGTTCAATTCTGGTCGAAAAGAGAAAACTACTGTCATTTAAAAAATTTAGTTCGTGGCTCTGACTATACTCTAACTGGAGTGACCTTTTAATAAAACTAAGTTATTTTTAAAAATATTATTGAACTCTTAAATATCAGTTAAAAACTCACCAAGTACTATATTACACATTAAAAAGTCATATTGTTTAATTGTGTTTTAATAGTGATTTCGTTTACGTTTTCAATTATTGTTTATTCAAGAATTTTTCGATTTTCACGGCGAAGGTATTTTAAAATAAAACCATTTTATATTTATTTTCCAAACTAATTGTTCATAGAAATGCTAAACTATTTTAAATCTTCTAGTTTCTAACAAAACTTTGGTGACATCGATTGATATATAACTGAGTCAGTCCTAAAGGATTACAGTTTCTTTGAAAGATGGAGATTTATTAGATTCCGTATCACCTTCGTTTAAAATATCAATACTGATATATTTTAAACTTCAAAACCCTATCAATATTATAAATATTATGGTTTTATGAGTGCATATGACTTTACTCTATGAGTTAAAAGTTCCGAGATAATTTCGATAACATTTTTTGTAAATTTCTCAAATAGAAGAGAGTAAAACGCAATATAATTTGACCAAGATGTGGTCAGATAATAAGGGAGTAAAAATGTTATACGAAGAGTTATTCTTGTATATATGTAATACATATTATGTTTAAAATTTAAATGATAAACACTTTTAATGAGTAAGTATGCGTTTTTAACAGATTCACTCGCACCAAAGTTTTATAAACTATTATATTCTATTAATAGAAGGTATGTCTTATTTATTTATAATGAAGGAAGCGAGTAAACTTGATCTATTTATGAGTTATTACAGTACAAATTCTTATAAAATACGTTATCAATTTCCTTATACATTTCAATTAAGGTTTACAAAAGTGAAGGTAACTGAATTATACTATTTAAAGCATTTCATATTATTTTAAAATATGTAATCCTAGATAGAAACACATATTACGTGGTAAATATTTTAATTTTGACTACATAATATAATCTTACTCTTTAGATGAAAAATAAACAAGTCAATATAAAGCAGAAATATTTTAATCAAGTCGTCTTAGCACTATTTTTGGTTTATAATTCCTCATGTACTCACGCTCCACATTAATCACGTTTTTTGTGTAAAATATTAAATATCTCTATGCTGATATATTCCTACGTTAAATTAATCAAGAAACATTTTATCATAATTTTAGTGTTGTAATTTCCAGGAAATGTAATTTAATACAAAACAAGTTAATATTATTCGATTATAAAAACATCGATATAGTAAGACACGTGAAAAAAGTCCTTTTGTCGATTAAAAGAGAAACAGTTCGGCGTAAAATAAGCTGAACAATTTTATACACTTCAAAAATGTGTACTAAACTTAATGTTATAGAGTTTGTTTAGTAAAACGTTTAATAACTTTTAAATAACAAAACAAAATTCAACGCTCTCTTATAAATTCTTAAGAACCGCTAAGAACCTGCAAGTACAAAACTTTTGTGATTAAAAATTTCACCACATCGAATTTGTTGGCTCCCGTTAGTCGAAGAATACTAAAGTACTTTAGAAATATTTTGAAACCTCAAATTTCATAAAAGTTGAATATTATTTATGAAAATTTACATTTTCTGTTTATCGTAGACCGATTTTAACGTTATTAAGGGTCTGTCCGCCAACAGTTTATCAGTTTAGAATCATATTTCATTCAAACATTGTTATCCTTTCGTTTCAAACAATTATTTTTTGACTCATATCACCCCATTTTCACACATTTACCTTTTGTTTAAAACTTACTATCAAGTAGAATACGTAATTGATTCGGAATAAGCGAAACATTATTTTATTACAACTCGAAAGAGTCATCGAGATTTTGAGTATTACATCTGTTTACATAAAACACGTTAAAAGTTGTCGAACACAAATATTTTCACCATTAGTTAGTACAAATCTTTTGAACCATTAGTACAAATCTTTTGAAAACTCATGAAATTTTGTTCATTGTGTTATTATAATTTAAAGGAATTTATATATTTCCAGTTTTTTAGTTTTAAATATGACCATTTGTTTTCTCGATATTTTTCTTTCTTTCTGTAGTTAATAAAAAAGGAATCGAAGTTCTCTGTGCTTTCTCAATACTTCCAACGAATAGTGTATCGTTGTCTAGTTACCTCGTTGTCGAGCATATATTAATTTGAATAAAATATTCGTTGGCCATTAAAAGCATCTTTGTATCTTCGAGGTCGTGAGTATTACCTCAAGGTATTTCAATAGGACTATCTTACTGTATAATATAAGTTGTTAACCTCTGTAGTCGATATAGTCCTCACACATTTGTTTATTTGGCCTTATTCTTTGTTTTACCTGGATTAAATTATTTGGATCCAGCTTCTTCTAGGTTTAAAGACTCGGATTCGAAACATCACGCATATTGTGAAATCATTTGAGTCGCCATATGCCCCTATTACCCTTAAGTTAGGAGTCTTGTATTTCGTGTTTCCTGATCGAAAAGTTTAAGCGATTTCTTGAAATATATCTAGAATTTAGAGTTCTCCGGTACTATAATTCTTATTTAACTTAAGGAACTAGTGAATACTTTTTATTCATGTTCCGGTGACGTATCCTTTAACTACCCAGGATTTGTCTCCTAAAATGAAGTGCACTCCTTTTTATAGTATTACTAGTAAACCTGGCGAACTCCGTTTCGCCACCAGAAGGCTTTTATATAACATTTCGTTTGGTGATTAAAAGATGAAGAATTTTTTGTTTTATATTTCAAAAGGAAAATTTTTATTTCATTTCACAACAGTAATGAATTCATTTCGATTACAAAAATGAAGTGTTATTTAGTTGAACTTCTCTAAGTAAATGAAAGTGAATCCAAAGTAGATACCGAATCGAAGCATTATACGTGTCCGCAAATTATCCATTTCATTGAAGTATTCAAGTTCAGCCGTTGGAGTCACTAACACGACTTTCTGTTATGTATATAGACTAGTCGGGCAACTGGTTGGGCAACTGATCGTCCAACTGATCGACCAACTGATTGACCAACTGATCGACCAACTGATCGACCAACTGATCGTCCAACTGATCGACCAACTGGTCGACCAACTGATCGTCCAACTGATCGACCAACTGATCGTCCAACTGGTCGACCAACTGATCGTCCAACTGGTCGTCCAACTGATCGACCAACTGATCGTCCAACTGATCGACCAATTGATCGTCCAACTGGTCGACCAACTGGTCGACCAACTGATCGTCCAACTGGTCGACCAACTGATCGTCCAACTGGTCGACCAACTGATCGACCAACTGATCGTCCAACTGATCGACCAACTGATCGACCAACTGATCGACCAACTCATCGTCAAACTGATCGACCAACTAATCGACCAACTGGTTGACCAACTGATCGTCCAACTGATCGACCAACTGATCGTCCAACTGGTCGACCAACTGATTTATATGAAATTGGTCAAGAATTTGCTTTTCTATGTACTTTAATCAAATGAACAGATGTTTTGAAGGTAATGCTTTTGGCCTTACCTTAAATAAAAGTAGCAATAATCAAAATTTAACTCAAAGAAATTTAACTTAAATTATTTTAAGTACCGGTGTAAGTTTTTTTGAAGATATGATTAATGGCTTGAATAATTATATTTGTAAATTATATTAAACCATTTCACTGCATTTTGGACATTTTTCCTCGAAATCCAAGTAAGTATAATATTACTAGTGACAGTTGGTGTGACAGTTTGGTATGATATCTCAATTTGCTTGTTATTTCATTAAACTATCAATGCCACATTTTATTTAAGGTTAGGTTAGTATCTATTTCTAATGAAATAAAAACCTGAACCTTGTAAAAGAACAGTATATGATATGTTATTATAAATTGCGCTGAACTGGAGAGATTGCTGTTCACATATATAGTTTGATATACTCGTATAGTTTGATATGATGACATAGCCGTCTTCAATGAGAAAGCAAATGCCAAAGAGCAACCAAAAACCTCTTCTGTTAACATTTCATTATTAAAGTGCATTAGTTTAACTTATACATATATTTAGACACAAAACTTGGAATATTAAGGTACAATTTCGATGTTAGTATTTGTTTTTTTACTAATTTAAATATAATATTACAGTTTTTTAGTCTTTTTTTAACAGTTATAAGACAGTAACTAGAGTGACTGCAAAGTGTAAGAAACGTGTTGTTAAAAATATAAATATCACAAAAAATTGTTTTATAAAAACTTATAGATCACACTATTGGAAATCTTCGCAATGATTATTTCAATATATGAAAAAGAAATAGTAGATGCTATGTCTTATTTCTTATTTTGATCACAACATTTTTTTTTTTTGTGAAGTAATGATATCTTGGTAAATGCACCGAGTTTAAAATAACTGAATTTTGCAAGTCATGCAGCAGATCTTTGAGATTAATTCTTGATTTGTTATGAATTAAATACTATTTATTCTTGGTACAAAATATATAGTTTAAACAGAGTTCAACAGAAAAAAGTCCCTGATTCATGTTACAGTTAAACTCTTTGGACAAAGAACAAACTAACTTTTATGAAAACTCTGACTCGCTGTGACACTTTTTTAGAGTACGTTGTTTTAAAAGGTTGACCTTTTTTTAATGTACTATGCAAATAGCCGTTTGTTATTTATTGGAAAAAAAAATTTTGTAATAATCTTTCTATATAGGATATGCGTTTAACTAATTGTATCAAGTTTCGTTTCACAAATAAAATATTTTTACACAACTCGAAACTTATGAAGTCCTAAACTTCTTATTAATTCTGGACATGAACTTATGTAAATGTCATTTTGCTATTAACTAATTATTTAAGCAACAGAAATAATAACACGCGTTGGTTACCATTTTATTTCAAGTAGAATTATTTTTCTTTGGGGTAAATCGGTAATAGCAACATTATTGTTAAATCCAAGTACATGTTGTAGTTAATGAACTGTATACATTTTAATGTCAATAACAAATATTGCGTAAAACCAACAATCAGCATCAACATAAACATAAAATTAACTATTACCTTTAATACTTTCTAATTAATATGTACATTTAATTCTTTCCGAGCTTAGTAAATGGAACGTTAATAATGTATTTAGATTGCAACATATTGAATATCGGTACATTAATCTTCTATATATATAAAAATGGATTGCTGTTCCTTAGTCTCGCTAAAACTCGAGAACAGCTGAACGGATTTATCTTATCTTAGTCTTGAAATGTTCGTGGAGGTTCAGGGAAGGTATAAAAGCTGAAAAAAATTGATTCATTACTGGGAAAACCATAAAAACAGCCCTTTTCTATTTCCCATACAAACGTTTTTTTTGACATTAGATTTAACAACTAACTAATATGTCAATCATTCTGTAGCACTTCAAAACACGGAGATAAACTCCAAAAATATAAATAAAAAAACGTAATAGATATTTCTTGATTATAGGACGATACGAAGTTCGCCAGGTCTTCTAGTTCTTACTACATATTTTAATGTTATAACGCTGTTTATGGCTCGCGAATTTTAATTTGTAGCAATGCAGTAACCAATTGCTTTGACGTCATCAAATTCAAATCTGCATTAGATCATCATGAACATATGTATTATAGATATTAGATGCACTATTATTTATGAGTTATTTCACAAATCATTACTTCTTATTTCAAATTGAAATCTAAATGTTGAACAGATAAATTAAAACCCTTTTATATAAATAACTTGGATATTTTCCAAACGATATTTAAAGGTAATGAGTTTTTGAGGTCTATGAAAGGCCTCAAAACCCAAGCTTTAACTTGTTTGTAAATATTAATTTTTACCTACACGAAATAGTATTTTTTTGAAATTAACCTATTTTTGGATAAAATTCTTTGTATGTATTCATATGTACCCAACGATTTGTTTATTTTACTGTAACCCTGAATCATGTAGGAACCCACAAAATTCTCTGAAAATAATTCTTTTTTATCATAATCTCCAACGTTTTTTTACGTGTATTATTTAAGAAAATTATATTAAAATCTTAATCTCTTACAAATTTTAAAGCTAGTTTAGTATTATTCTTAAAATTATCACAAAATTGCGCTTATGATAAACTATGGATGTCAGATGTTGTCGCCCATGAAAGGATTTGTGAGGCTGACAAGAGATCTGCGTGCATTATGTCTGATAGAATCATAAATGAAGATATTTGAAGCCGAATTGTGTCGAGTGACAGGGTTTTAGTCTAGAAGTGACGGAGAAAAGAAAATAACATCCCTAAAAGCGATAGTATGCCTTCGTTGAAAACTTCGCTTTTCCATAAATTTATTTCAGAAATAAATTCCATTCCGTATCACATTTTAATTCAATACAATACCATTTCGTACCACACTTTAGACATGCTTTTATTATATAGCGAATACAATATCGAGTAATACACGAATTTAGATAAATTAATTACACCGATGTTACAAAGCATGCCTACAAAGAAGCAAATTGAATCCGTGAAACTTATATCAATACAATACAACAATGTATAATTATTTTTTTTTAATTATTTACCCAAGAACCAAAATAATGTTATCATTTATTATAATATAAATTCACGATTCATTATTTAAATTCTAAAATTAATAATAATTTATTGAATGACCTGGAATATAACGTACCATTTGTTTAGCTTTGAAAACAAAATGTTTTCTAAACTTTACACTAACTTAAATACTTTTATGTTTTGGTGATATTAGTTACTATAATATAATTATTATATTTCCATCGCATAATTTACAACAGTTGCTACTGATGTAGCTTTACAAAGATGAAGATTAACAATACAAAGTGGAAGTGCACTCAAGATGTTGAAGTACTAATGAGATTACCTGCTCACAGTCAAGAGCTTTTAGCACACTATTATATCTATTATTATTGCATTGTTCTTATATTGTTATCTTTTGAACATACTCATAAGAACATATGTGTGAAAATTTGTAGTTATGTTTCATATTGTGCAAGGTCGAAACAATAACAATTTTCCTCTCACACACCCTTATAATATATTTTATTATTGTCGGTATGAAAAACTATTATATTCGAATGAGATGAAAAATTAAAGAGTTCAAATAACCTTTAAGACGTGAAAGCGTAATTATAAAATATTATCTACATATATAATATTAAGAGTACTACGTTCATTAAAAAAGTATTTCCAGGGAGTAGATTGTAATAACTAATAAGTATTCTATTTGAACACGTTTACTCTGAATTGATTTTGATTGTTAATCCTTAGGCTGTATACAAACAATTAGTTGAGGTCATTGATACCGCTGCCGTCACACATACACATATATCTTTAGTAAACATATGTTGGGACTCTTTAATTACGAGCAATTAACATAACAATAGGTTGTAGTTCTGTTATTTCAAGAACTGAATCAGTGGAAAAATATCCGTAAAAGTCTGATAGTTAATCTCAATCATAGTTTTATTTTTAAATTGTTATATCTGTACAAAAATATACAAATATCTGGCGTACAATTTTAAGAAAATTTCATGAAACAAAAGATTTGGGTGTTGGAAGTTTTTCTTTCGTTTTCCTTTGTTCGAATTTTCAAATATTCATAAAAAAATATTTTCAATGAGTTTTAAAAAAGGAATAGATTTCTCTTCTTTAGTTTAAATGTAAATAAAGGAAAAGATTATTTTAATTTTGTGCATAGCATGTTAAAAGAAGAAGATAGTATAGTCCACAATAAAAACAATGAGATATCAAAATAATATGTTATTGTTTGTATTTCAGTGAATCTGATAAATCATTATTTGTTTAGTTTATGTCTGGTCTCATTATTAACATGGTATTTTAGACTATATTATCACCCTTACTTTGCTCGGAAATAGAGAATGTTCTAGTCATCCGTATCGCTTATTAAAACGTTGGAAGTAAGCTGTAATTAAAAAGTTAATTAATATTCTCACCAATGAAAAATATACAACAGAAGATAGTTTCTATTGTCTGGGATGTCAAAAGTGAGAATGGTTTGTATCAGTGTTCCCTGCGGGAATGAGCTGGTGATATTGTTGTTTTTGAAAAATATTGTAAAAATGAAAAGACATTTTACATTTGACTATCATTTGATATCATGATATCTTTAGAATAATTTTATATTTAAAAATACTCGACAACACGATTGCTTGATAAGAAAGAAAATGCCTTTTTTATGTCATTATTATTTTGTTTTTTAAACCTTTTTCGTTATCAGTATTTCCTTTTTACTTCTCGTATTTAAAAATATCTGGTTATAGAATAAGTAATTCCGTAAAGTGGAAACGTTTCTTTTTATATAGAAATCTCTAAAACATATAATATATATAT